TAGGATGAGTGACCATAGATAGGAAGGGATGTACTTTATTATAATCATTACTAAATTATGTCTATTACATCAAATTCAATCATAATACAGCCAGACTGGAAATCTATAGAGTACCATTTTCTATTATTTGTAAACATTGGCTTGTTCATATTTTCCTCACCCCGCCTGCCAAGTCACTTCAAACACCTTTAAATAAAGCAAAGAATATTTGGGATGAAAATAAATAGAAATAATATGACTATTTTGTAAAGCATGATTTATACCCAATCTCAAAATTTAAGTTGGAGGAAAAACACTATTAGAGTTTGAAACTGATCAGCAAATGGCAAAAGTGGGGAAGATACTGAGAGATCGAAAACCGCCATACTCCTTGAAGGAGTATAATGGACACATTATGTCACTTAATCATGTTTTCTGCTCTATATAAGACAGAAATTTGGAAAGCCTAAGAATTGATGGCAAGTTGACACGTGTTCCTTAAAAGGAATCCAATTCCACACCATGACCTAAATATCAGAGAGATTGTTCTCATACAGCATAGCAGCACCCATCCCCTAGCAAGGTACCCACAAATCCTTTACCAAAAACAAGTGCTTCTGGGAAACAAAACACCAGGGGTCCATGGATTCCTTTTCCAGATCTCTCATTTGCAATAGATTCTGGAGAAGGAAGAAGCAGCAGGGGTATGTTCCAATTGATTCCAAGGATTCTGTTTCTCAGTCTCTCGATACAGAGGGGAAAAAAATCTCAAGCATGTCTACTCATAAGTAAGTATTTGCTCCCTATTTACTTGGTAAATTGTTTGTGGTTCTGTCTTAAATCCCACTGGGTGTGCCAGAAAACTGAAGGGAATGAACTGGAAGAAGAGATGGTGACCACAAATGTTGGCTTAGCTGGTGAGCTAGGCAATACTTGTGGACCTGCCTCCAGAAACAGTGTAACTCAATGCAAATCTTGATGAAGTGCTTCACTTCTTTAAATAAAAATATTTATTAAACTCTTGTTTTCTTTTGGCAAGTGCTTAAAATCTAAGGTTATTTTCCCCTATCTTGCACATACACATTCCCCAACCCCCAACCAGCAACCACTCAAAAGTGGCCTCGGTGTTCAGTAACAGCTTTCCCTACCAAATATTCACAAGGATTTTTATTCTGTATCTAAATACATATTTACAACATAGCAGTCTTCACCTATTTGAGTAATAGGTATTAAAATATTCTAGATATATAAATAAAGCATGACATATAAAATAAGCCCTACCATAATAGATAAGGCAAGAAGAATTAAAAATAAGCTTTCCTGGTGAAAAAATTGCCTCCATGCAGACAAAAATCCCACAGACATAAATGCCTAAAGTGAGAATTTGGAGTCTGACCCAAGGGTCTTCAATGCCAAGGACAGTTCCAGTGAGGATCAGCCCATTTGTGTTAAGTGCTTTACCCAATGAGATATATATATATATTCTATATATATATATATATATATATATATAGATATATAGATATATATATAGATATATATATATTCTGAAACAAAAGAGAAAACGAAAATGCTTAGCTTTAACAAGCAAACCACTAAGACCGCACCGATCAAAGGCACGTTATGGATAATAGCATTAAGAAGAAAGGGATCATCTATACCTATCAGTTACATCCCCACAGCTAAACTGCTACATTTAATTTTGCTACTTGTCTGTCAGCACAATCAAACAGGTAGTCCAGGGCAAGAGCAGCTTCAAACTATTTGTTCCATCCCTCTGAGCTGTTATTCTAGATCAGGGGTGTCCAAAGCTGGCTGAGGAATTCTGGGAGTTGAAGTCCACAAGTCTTAAAGTTGCCAAGTTTGGACACCCCTGTTCTAGATAAAGCAAAAGCAACAGCTAAAGCAGGGTGTTTGAGAGAATGAAACCCCAGTGTTTCTGAAAGGCAGCTTTCCTTTTCCTGCCATGGGCTGCTCCCTTGGTCCTGCTTCCAGCTCCAGTGAGTCAGTGATGAACAGAGCTGTACCCCATAAAAATTTACATGAGTACCATCAGGGCATGCCCAGGATTCACTGCAATGGGCCAGCAGTAAAAGTAACAAAGTGGATGGGGTTCCCTGAAGATTCGACTGTTAAAAAACAATGTAATAAAACACTGAACTTTTTCTGGGCAGCGGTTTGCTTCAAAATGTAATATCATTATTCAAACAATGTTCAATGCACTATAAAACTTTCAGAGAGATTATTGCACATAAATGGAACAATCGATCTTTCCTCTCTTAAACTAAACAATCTGGATAGTGGCTCCAAACTCGTTAAAAGCATGTTCTAATATTAAGATGCAAAAATACAACATTTTGGGTACAGAAATTTTTGCCTAGGAATAGAATAATCCCAAAACTTTTAAAGCATAGTCTTCCACTGGAAAAAAATAATGACACATTTTTACAGTTTAAATTTTGCTAAACAATTATGCATTAAACATTTCCAATCTGTCAAAAAGTCGTACATCTTAAGAAAAAAAAAGTACAACCAGAAAATAACATCAACATAAAGAAAGGCAACTTAGTATTACAGCTCCACAGCTCTGTCATCTCTAATGATCCTAAATTTAAAAGTGTTGGAAAGATTATTTAGCTATATTTACCAGATTGTTTTTTTTTTAATATAAAACTACACTCAAGTACAAAAATATGTAAACACACTGTACAACCGATGAACAGATAACAAATTAAATTTAGAAACAAGATCAAATTGTAGGCAACATGAGCTATGATAGAGTAAAACTGAAAATAAGAAAAATGGGCAGGAAAAGACCAAAACAAAGCAAAATAAAATTCCTACAAGTAACATAAAAAGTAAATATGATCAAGATTTGAGAGTGCTTGATAACAGGACAAATCTCTGATCACAGTTTCAAATTTTAATTATTACAAAATAACTAAACCTATTCTCTGTTAAACATGCGTATCTACTGATACAGTATAAAGTTGAAACAAATCTGAAAATCAAAGAACAGGATCCAGTGTTTGAATCTCATGGGAGAATTAAAAGATTATCTTCCAGTGAAATTTAATAGGAATTTAAACAATTGTAAATTTTGAGTGGGACATGTCCCTATTTTTTTTAACCTCAAATATCTGAATTTGGCAGACAAGAATCCAGAATAAAAACTTTGGTTTGAAAGATTTTTCAGAGCTCTGCAGCCAAGCATTTCCCACAGAAGCCCACACAAATCCATATCTCGCAGTCTCATGCAATTCCCTTCTGGAGTTCCAGCTCCTGATATAGAAATGGAACCTGTTCTGGAAGCCTGGGGGAGGGGGTAGGAAAGGAAACCCTCCAAAGCCCTCTGCAGGGGCTTCAGGCCCAAATCCTTCCAGAATGTCTTGAGAAATTAAGGGTGTAGATATTGAAAAATATCTTGAAAAATACAGTATATTGAAAAATACAAGATATTTTCCAATATCTTGAAAAATACAGCAGAGCTTTTGGCACCAAAATTTCACTTCCACTTTTTTGTTTGATACTATCAATTATAAATTGGTGGACTTATAAATCAAAACTTTATATAAATATATCACCATATAAAGCAAATAATCAGCACCCTTGCAGACTACTCATATGGATTCCTGTCTGTTTATATTTTTTGTAATAGTCCTCAAGGGTCGTATCTCAATCTAAGCAACAATCTCTTCTCAGAGTATTTTGGGTCAACAGCAACTTTTTAAGAGGTGCTTTGAAATCGTTCCACAGAAAAAACTGCAGAGTTTGATAAAGGCCATCTTTAATCAATTGAAGATCAGTAACCACAAACTCCCTCAAAAAATAGGGTGGCTCTTACTCTGAGCTATAGTATATTGGATGCATTCCAATTCCAAAAGGGCTCCTGGAGGCTCCTTAGTCTTGGTCTGGGCACACCATAAACTGTGTGAGCTCAGACTGTGCTCCAGGGAGATTTCTCTTTGCAGAGCATCCACACAGAAAAGATTCTCTGAAGCACAGAAGTCCCTACTTTGGGATCTACTATTAATTCCTACTCCTAAGCCCCAGGATTAGTAACTAGCCTAAAAGTTATTATAGCAAAACATATTTGACTCTCCTGACATCTGTGTAAATCCTTTAAGAAATCCATACTCAGATTTGCACTTATTAGAAGCTGGCATTTGACTTCCTTGTTCATAAGGAAAGAACAAGTCAAAGTCAACCTTTGGCGTTTTCCTAGGCATAGCCAGTAGTTTTCTGGGGGAGAATTTGGGAGCAGCTTTCTCTTCCCTTCTTCTAGGCTGTTTTTAGAATCTTTTAATTCCCAAATGGTCTCCTGTGAAAGTCTGGATGAGGCCTGGCAAGATTTGCAAGTGGAGCCCTGGCTCTTCTTGAATTGAGAACAGCCACATTAAATTTTAATCAAACCAAATCAAATTTACTTTCCTTATTTTAAATTGTTCTTTTTGTTTTTACTGTTGGAACAAAAGTGTATCCTATAAAAAAAACTAACAGGATTATTTTATAATGACAATCTTGGCAAACTACTTTGAAATATTTTCCTTTGTACAAGTAATCAAATTGTAAGTTGGGAAATTCCAATTTCTGAAAACCTTTAGAGGTTTTTAAGCTGAAAAGAAACTCCATAACATAAAATTGTTAATGATAAATCAAATTAAGAGTTCCTTTCCTGGTACCTCAACATTGATTATCTTTCATTTGGATTCCAATTAATTTCTGGATTCCAATTAATTTCTTTCAGCAAATTCATGTCCTCTCTTTAAAATCCAATATTAGATTTCATATGCAGCAAAATTTTAAATGTTAATCATGTCAAATATACACAGTATTTCAAACTTCAAACTGATGATCTTATATATCTCATCCTATTCATTTTGATCACAGTTCTTATGATAATACTTCACACTCTTCTAATAAACATACCACACAGTTTTATAAGAAACATTAAATATCATGACAGCCCTTACTGTAGACAGTATAGCATAAAATACTTTTGGGAGAGATTGTGTCTTTTCTTTTTTGTGATGAATGCAAAATGAATAAGAAATTCCTGAACCTGAAACAGAGAAGGTAACATATATAACTCCATTAACATTCTGCACACAGGCTAAATTTTATATTTTTCCATAGGAAATAATAAAGGAAAGGATTATTATTTTACTGAAGATGGGCGTCCCAAATACCATCTTTTTTGTGATGAGGCTGCAAGAGACCACATTCTTTTACTAACTGTCTAGGTATATATAATTTTAAACATGTAATAGATCACAGTGGCTTGTTTAACCTGTGTGTGAATTCATTTTCATGGTAATAACTTTTGAATAGCTTTTTGTTGACTCCTGCCAGGCATAAAATATTTCAGTTTTTACCATTTTAAATACCAGCTTTTTCTTAAAATTCCTCTTCCTTTATGATTGAGGCAGGAGCATAGAGGCACAGTGAAAATAATTTTGAAAAGTATTGTATAGGATCAGAGTGAAATATACTTATCTGTGGGTTCATGAACCTTTTAAACTTGTTTTAAAGACAAGTAATCAGTAGTGGGATTCAAATAATTTAACCAATTCACCCAGGGTCAGGTTGGCCATCTTGCATGTGCGGTGGAGCTGGGGGATGGGCTATGTCTCTCAAGACAGCCAACCTGACCCTGGGTGAACCAGTTGTTAAATTACCCTCCCCCCACTATCAAAGAGGATCCTGGGTGCTCTGCTGCAATGGAGAAATGGGCAATGGAGCGGCCGGCACAAGGGAAGGAGGAGTAGGGAGAAGAAAGAGGGAAAGCGGCCTTTTTCCCTTGCACCGGCTGCTCCATTGCCCGTTTCTCCATTGCAGCGCAGAGCAGCACCCAGGATCCATTTTGATAGCAGGGGTTGGGTAATTTAATAACCGGTTAACCTGAATTGGTGTGAACCAGCTGAATCCCACCATTGCAAGTGACCTTTCTAAACAGCTTTTAAGATAGAAAAGTAGGTCAGCAACTGGGTGCAAGAGATGTTCAGAAATGAGATAGGAGAAGCAAGAAATGCCTACAATCTACTTCTAATTCAAGATTCTCAAGTTCAATCTGGACTAGTTCAAGTGCTCAGAAAAACAACAGAATATTCATTTGAAATGTATTCATTCATAATCTTCAAATGGTAACCACTTTAATCTCCACCAAAAATAGGTGCAGGTCATTAATCAGATTGACTGACTGAGCCTCTGGATAAGATAGGGTTCCTGATTTAGCTTTGTTTCACATTGTACAAGTGACCATGCAAATCATAAAATGTCAATGGGTACCATCCAACATCCAGAAGGTCCTCAAACTTCCAGATAAACTTTTTGGGATTCATGGGGAATGGCAGAGGGAAGGGGAAACACTTCTGTTGGAGGGTAAAACATAACCCACAATTTCTGGCAAGCAACTGCGAATAGAACTGTTTGCTCTGGCACTTCCTGCCATGAAATTCTTATCTGATATTAATACTAGGTATGTAGTTTATAATTTTTGGCTTGTATTTATTTTGGAGAAATTTGTTACTTAAATCTTTATTGCTATTGCAAGAAGCAACAGTCTGGCTTCAGGAACCCTGTTTTGGACACCGAATGTACAAGCGAAACATGCTTTCTGAAGGAAATGTTAAAGCAAAATTACTTTAATTTCTATCATGTACTGGACTGCATAGGATGTTTGGCTGCCATTCCCATTTTGTAATGAAAAAGAATAACATACCTTTTAGTTTTTCAATTCCATTTTAGAAACCAATTCACTAACCCTCTTTATGCTTGAATGTGCTGAATGAAATACGTAAAATTAAAGACAGCAAATGGTTTGTTTCGAGAGGCAACCTGAGGCAGTAGCCTAGGGTGCTGAAGATATTTTTAACTGCAACTCCTAGCAACCCCTTCCCTTTGCTGTGCTGTAATTCAGCAATATCTGCAGGGTCACAAGATCCTTTACCAAAAAGTTCTAATCAGAAAAGGTATGGTTTTTAATCTATCCTCTTTGTAATTTTACAGCCAGATGTGCAAATATCTAAAAATGTAGAAAAATGTGAGGTAGTCACTGATTTTATTAAAAAAACCCAACTAGCCCAACTAACCAATATAGTTGAGGGGGAAAAGATTGATAAAATTGAATATTATAAATCCAGATCATATATTATATTCAGAGCTATATAATCAAGCCTTAATATTTCTAACCTAGTAATTCACTGTAGTCTTTATTTGTTAATATGATCAAGGGAGTAACTAAAACCTGAAATTATTTTTCAGGCAAGTAATCAGCCTGTGCATAATCTAAGGCTCCTGGTTCAATTCAGCTTCATTTGAAAAAAAAAGTTCTCCTATTTAGTAAGAAATCATTATTTATGACTATGATTACTTTGTGTGAGTATGTGTGTGTGTTTCTGCTTGCTGCAGTTTTAAAAATGTGCTGAGAGATATTTTTGCACAAAATATATATTTCTTTCCCTATGTGTGCGTAGAAAAGATGGCAATAATAAAGTAGCTCTAACAGTGTTTCCATATCCTTATATAATTAAATTAGGTATCAATTTGTAGGCTGCCTCAGTCATTAGGGCAGTCTAACTAGCTGTTTCAGGATACAGATCTCCTGACTGAAGAACTTACTTGGTTTCTTAATGCTTCATACCACAAAAAGTAAAAAGAAAAGAAAATATAAGTATTTCATAGTTCAAATGCATTTGTAATGAGCATATTTGAGATTCTAAAGCAGCAAAACCTGCTAGATAAATATTCATATCTGTATTTCTAAACTAAGAATATTTACTAGGAAATAAACTCCTTCTGAACCAGGTGAAGCTTATTTTTGAGTAAACATACCCAGACTCCAATTGTTAATCACCTAACAATTTTAAAAAAATACACAGACCTATAGGAAGCTGGGAAATGAGTGGCATAAAAGGATCCTAGCAATTTTCTTTCTTTTTTAAAAGTGCATATTGGGATAAGTAAAATAACATTTTATGTTTTCAGATTTCCTGGAGGATGTCACATCCCATGAAAAAATCAAATATCAGTTATGTAATTTAGTATTTAGATATAAATTCATTTACATTCAAGACAACCAATACCTTATAAGAACCTCACCTCAGGAAATAACATTCAAGCAAACCTTGTTATTTATTGGTGCTCCTAAATCTGTAGAACATATTTAGTCTTAAGTGAAACCTCTCCCTGCCCCTAAGCACACCCCTTTTGCTAGGATTTTTGCAAAATAAGAATTTCATCTCCCATCCTGAACAAAATTTTAGCTACATATTTAAAAGGGCTTTATTTTTTTGAAATTATTATTCTCTCCCCAAATGGCAATTTGCTAAGATGTCAGAGCACCTTGCTGAGTTCAGCATGTAAAAAACTATATGAAAATTGTGACAGAAATGAACTCCCTTTCACTTTCCACCATGAAAGGGCAACATCCATTTTCATAGCAAAAACAATAAGCCAAACTACTCTCTGGTCCCTCCTTTTCTTCCTTCTCACCTCACCACTGGTGGTAAGGTGAGACTGGATCGCCAAAACAGCAACAACAAAAACAACATTAATTAAAAATAGCTGCAAGGAAGAGAACCAATGAGAAGAGCTGTGTCAACATCTGAGGAAAAGTGGGCTTGCAAGTGCAGTATTTCTTCATGTGCAGTGTTTGTTTTTCTACTTCAGTGTCTCCTTTGGAAAAGAAGGCTTAGTGGAATGTATGTTCTCCTCGGACAATGTGGGAAGAGAACTCATATCGGTCCTGACTCCGGTATCCACAAATGTTGCATTCTAGGGGGTCCCGGTAGCCATGACACCCCATATGAATGGTGTACATGACATGGTCCAGGAAAAGAATTCGACAGTGTTCACACTTAAATGCCCTTATCTGCTCTCCTTCTCCATTGAAGACCTTATAGATATCCTTTAAAGAGCCCTTTGATGCTTTACTGACCTCCAAAGCCTTGGAATCATCCTTCATGTAAGCTGGACTTTGCTTTCGTTTGGGATTTAAGGCAAGGTTTCCTTGAAAGGACTGGTGGTCTTCGTGGCTGCTCTCTGAGTCAGAGGAATCGAGGCAGCTATTGCTAGGTGAAGCCTCTCTTTCTTGGGGATGACTCTTTGGTCTGATGAGGGAGAGTGGGCCATCCATGTTATTTTCATTGCTATCAGTGGTTCCTCTGCTTACTGGTCTTTCTATCCTGCTTGGATTATAGACCTGAGCATAAGATGAACTTATGACAGGTGCCACATCAGCAATTGTGCTTGGAGTGTGCTGCATCAATGGGTGAAGTCCCTCTGCCCCAAGGTAAGAGATCGCATTGTTGATTGCTTGATCCATCATGTGGGTTTGCATCAGCTCAGCATCTCTCTCATATGGTAAGCTTGGATCAAAATGAATATCTGGATAACCATATCTCATGAGCTTTTCACCTACATGAAAACAACAGTAAAGAAGAAGAAAAAAAACACTAATAAGATAAAAAATGATAGATCAACAATGCAAATTCATTGGCAGAAACTGACACATTAAAAAAAAATCCCAGGAACGTTTACTTAAAAAGAAATTATATTTCATGGGATTTACCAACCAGTAATTGTGCAAGGGACTTTTGGCAGAATTTGAAATATTTGCTAAATTAGCAGCAATGGAATATAAATATAAAAAAAACATTGTCTTCAGATTTTCATTTTTAAATTCCGTGATTTATTTAACTTTCATATTTTACAATTCTTAGGAGCTCCACAAAATGGAAAATTCCAATAATTTGTGTCAATTCAATTCAATTCATTGTGATGTGTTCTCACTTCAGATATATTAGAATAAAATACATGCTACTTTCCAAATGTCAAAAATATGATATTTTATTATTAGTTTCCATAATGCAGGGAACACAAAGTTCACATATGGAAAGAGATAAAATTAATGTATCTTTCTTTTAAAATATGTCAGGTGAAAATCTATGCAAGATATGGAATCCTCAAGCACTGAAGCAACTAAAATGAAGAAAAATGAGACATTCTACTATAATTTATAAAATCTGGGTTCAAATGTTGATCATTTGAGAACTAAACAACCATATAGAACAACATGGACATTATATGGGCACAGATGACAAAATTTATTAGAATCACCTATTTTTTCAAGAATATTATATATCAGAAATGAAAAATGTGTGGCACACAAATCATGCTTCTTCCCATGTTCAGTGCAGATTGTTAACATCCTTACATTGCCAATTTCAGAACTGAGCTCAGTCATTTTGGATCATTTGAATATGTCTGTATATGCCCAAATATCCTGGCTACTTGAGCAAATCAAGGAAGAACGGGAGGGGTGGAATTTGAAGTTTAGGACTAAAGAAGTCTTAAAGAAGGAGGTTAGAAAAGGGGAAAGAATGAGATAGTAAAAGGATTGCAACAACAGAGGAACTGGATGGTTATAACTTTTCCCTTTGTCCTATAAGTGACTTTTGGAGGGCATACTGACCTTCACTCTCATAATAATAGAATAACATTCAACCCTGATATGATATTGAATGAAGAAAACTTAATCAGGTATGTATGACTGAAGGAGGAGCAAAGTCTGATTCTGTACTATTCTGAAGAAATACTGAATGTAACAGCAGCATAAGTCTGAGAAGCAGGAGGACTTCAATCATTAAAAAAACACATTTAAAAGAATCCAAAACATGCATCACATGCATAAATACGCACATTTTTTCCTGGTAATTACTACAAGTTGTATATGGAATATAGAGGTTTATTGCTTACTCTCTACTTGTATCCTCATTTGTGATTGCAGAATCAATCTAGGATCGAAGATGGTAAGGGATTAAACATAGGGGATTTCAGTAACCTATGCTAACTAACTCTTTCAAGTCCAATTCAGGATATTATAATTATATTGATAACTGGGGACCATCTATATCAATTATAGAGCTAACATATATTACAGCAATTTGGATTTGGGGTTATTATGGACCGATGGAGAGAAGACCACTTATTTGTTACTGAGGGTTACGATCTAATAATATATGAGCTGGCAATGATTGGCACCTATTACAATTGTCTGCTTCCAGAGATTTATAAAATCCAAGGATTCTTGCTGGCCCTGGGTGATTTTCCAAGCAACTTAGCTGACAATTCCCTTAAGACTATGGTTACGTAACTGAGTGGTGAGAGAAGAGGGGCTACTGACTAAAATTACTACTTCAGAGCACTACTTCTGATTCTAAATTCCACTCTGAATACTCCTTAGTTTTTCATGCGTGCTGAACAATGAAACAAGACTGTATTCAGCTAAAATGGAGTCAAAGCAAATCTTATACTTCTGATTACAAATTACCTTCCTGTGTTGGTAGTGCTGTGAAAAGGGTATACATCTTGTTCAGCACTATATTTAAGTGATTATCCATTGGTTAATAAAACACCATGCTATAGTTGGAGAGTTAAAATGTTCATCACCCACGCCAGTTTAGATGCCATAGTTACTTCAGGAACTATAGAGATTATATTTGTCAGAATTTGTAACTGTCACCTACTGTAATTACTTATTTACATATCTTTGTATACCAGTCAGTTGTCAAGACTCTTGGTGAAATCTGTGAATCAGTTAAGTTGCTTGTAAGGGTTAGGGTGATTACTTGTTCTATAAATCTTTGCTTATTGTGACTGAAAGTACCTAGTGGGAAGTCTCATACTGTAATTAATTGGCCAGCTACAATAGAGGAAGTTTATTATTTAGACAAATTTCATTGATCAGTGCATCACTGATAAAAGCTTTAGTTGCCCTCATATTCTTTGCTAAGTGAAAGATGGGAGGAATATTACTGAAAATCCAGTATCTTGCTGGGCCAGCCCCATGATTAACAAACTGGAAGTGTGGTATTTCAGTAATTCAATTTCTATTTAAAGGATTGCTACCAGAAGTGGTATTAGGAAACTTTTACTCCAGATTCTCTCCTTCCTGTTGTTTAGATTCTACACAAGAAGATAGAGATTGCTTTTAACAAATAAAAAAGGAATGCTTTTCATGACAAACAAAATGATAAAAAAAACCTAATAAGATAAAAGAAGTTACTGTAGGCTATCAGCTGAAGATCTGAAGCTCACTGTTATTGATTGATTGATTCAATTTGTAAGGTTGCCTAATTGTACAAGTAATTAAAAAATAAAGTAAGAACAATGAAAAACAACAAAAATTGCATTGTGGAAATTTAAAAGATTTAAAACATTATGGTATTTAATATAACATACAAGTTGCTCTTGTTCAAGGCTGCTAGAAAATCCACATTTTAAAATCTTTTCTAAAGGGTTGGTCCCATTGGTGGATTGCTATTCCAGAGGGCAGGAGTCACCGTTCAGAATCAGAAAGAAGGCATGGGTCTCATATGATGACACTATTTTTAAGAGACTCAGAGCATATGAACAATGCAAATATTATAGAATGGTAAGAAATAGTTAGAAACATGCAGCCCTATAAAATCAAGCCCCTAAACCATAAATAGCTTTATAGATGACAATGAACACCTTGAATTGCACCTGGAGGCCAGCCTGTAATCAATGCAGGTTGTGAACGGATGTTTGCTATTTTGTTTTATGGTTTTACTCTGTAATATTACATAGTTCTGTTTTCATATGATTTCATAATCATACTCTGGAATTCTTTAATGTTGGGGGGAAAGGACATAAAACTTTTAAAATATTTATACAATAACATTTGCAGTCAATCACATAACAAATTACACAAGAACATTATCTTGCATATTTTCATATAAACTTGATTAAAGAGCATTTGGAATGGATTTGCCTGCTGACTTTTTCCAATGGTATACAATTCTACAAAGAATTATGGTGGTTTCATTAATTAGCAATTGCAACCTATTCAATAAATGAATGGTTTATAGTTTTAGATTATAGATGACTGCTCATTTCATCATTATGAACTGACATTCCATTGATGTAATGGAAAAACTGATTAATATTATTTTGAATGGTCAAGATTTAATTACATTTTCAAAAAAATCAATATATGCTGTGTGATTACATATGTATGATATGCCTTACCTGCCATATATTTTGTTTTGTTGTATGTATAAAAAGAAAAAAATATTTTAGAATATGTACACAGTATTCCCCTATTGATTTTGTATGATCTTATTTATTTATGACTACAAATTATATGCCCCTCCATTTGCAAAGACTTTCAGAAGTTTACAGTTTTTAGTTGGGCTAGCTTGATCTTACATATCTCAAAATACCTTTCTAAGGAGCTATGTTTCTACAGCTCTATGGAAGTACAATAAGGATCGTGTGGTCTGGATATCTGGGGACAAGATATTCCAAAGAGGTGTTATCACTAAGAAAGGTTGAATCTGAGATCCATGAAACCTTAACAAGCCCACTCTCCCAGATCTTATTGGAGAGGCTGATTCAACATAGAGAAAATGATCATGGTGACACCCAAAGCCTAAGCCATGCAGGGGTTGAATTGTATCCTGAGGCTAATTGGCAGCCACTGCAATTAAAGAGGTGAAGCTCAGGACACCTACCCATAACTCCCTGAACTACTGTGTAGTGCATTAATGAAGCTTTTGAACAATCTTCAGTGCCGCCCCATGTAGATTGTACTGCTGTGAAATGCCAAGGCCTTGAGTAATTTTAAGTAAAAGTCCCTGATTCAGGAAAGTCCACAACCACCTCACATGATATATAACTGTCAAAGGTTCTGATGGCCAAAATCTCCATTTGCTATTCAAACAGGATCCAGAAGTGCGGAACTCCCAAGCTGTGGGTCAAATATATGCCATCATTGGGCACAATCCACAGCCTTGGCAGGATTTAGTCTAACTCTATTTCTCTCTATCAACAGCTAAGGCACCAGGTCAGAAGCTCCATCATACATGCTATCCCAGACTGGAGACAGATAATTTAAAATGAATTTATAATTAAAACCTGATATATTACCAATATCTTACTGGTATTTTGGTAAGAAATATGCTTACATAGCTAATTCTTCATCTGCCTCTAAATGTTTAACTACAAAATATAAATATGGATAAAGCTATAGTTAATTTTAATACATGATCTGAAGAATTGTAAACAGTATTTATTCATTGGATGTGGTTACAGTAGTTATTATGACATTGAATAAAGAGTTATTTTATTTTCTCAGATTCTAGAGGATTATATTTTGAATCTAAGGATTTATTTTTATTTTTTTCAGCTTTTCTCTGAAGCAGGACATTTTTACTCCCTTCCCTGAAATTTCAACTGTAAGAATACAATACTGTTTTAGTTTAATTTGAGAGTAAAGTTCAGTCTCTAGATTAGGAAGACATAGCTTTTCAGTTTTCTCTATACTAGAGTATAATCCTTTTTTTATGAAAAGGTAAAATTATTGTCTTTTGTTGGGATCTTTGCTCAAATTATCATCCTATCCACACAGAATAGAATTAGCTTCCTTTACAAATGTTACACAATTTAATATGTGATTATGCATATATCAAAAAGATAAATATATTCTTGCATAATTTCTGAAAAAGGAAACACATATTTTCATAATTATTGTATTGTGCAAATATTTTAACTATTGCATATAAAACATCTTTGTTCTGTTATTTATTTTTTAAATATAAATTTCCATACTTCTCTAAGAAATAAGGATGGATTTTATCCTCATTTTTTGTGTTTCTGATCTTTCTGCTGGCACAGATGGGAATAGCTGAAGCTTCTACCAAGACAACTGAATCCAGAAAATACAACTCTAAACCATCATAATAGGTCAATTTATTTTTCAAAGTAAAGCTTTCATAAACAAGGAAGAATGAAGATTCATTAATTATGGGGATTACTGCCAATGTATTGATTTATTACATGTCATTCAGTGTTAGAATCAGATTCCAATATCATTTTAAAAAGAGGATCAGGCTGAATATGTTTAGATTTCTTATGAAATATAACTCTTTCTGCAAGGTAACCTTTTTTGTGAAAAGCAGCTAAATGGAACTGCCCTGCTTTTATTTATTTTACTGGTCACCCAGGAGCTCTTTTTGATCCAATATAAAGCCTTCTAGTGAATGCTAGGATTGCTTACAAGCTTCTATAACTCCTTAATTACCTTAGCTATGTCCAGGGTCTCAGGTGAGTTACTCAGGTGAGTAAACCCAGGGTCCAAGTGGAGAAACTCCAAGCTCTAAGCCTGCTGGGCCCTTCACAGCTGCAGCAACCTCGCCCAGGACTCTTCATCTGAGCTTTAGAGGGTTTTTGCTTGTTTTATTTTTTATTTATTTTTTGTCCTCTGAGAATTTAAAAATTCAGCTATCCTGTCAGTTTTCCATTTATTTATTTTTATTTATTTTCCAACATGCATGCAATTCATTCAGATGAATGTCCTTCTTGTTCCCTGACTGCTTGAAAACTCTCATAGGGCATACAAAATTATGAGCTGTACCTCATGTCTTGTCCATGTATTCACTTTCCACACTCTGATTTTGTAATGAGAGACCAATATTAACAAGGCAAGCTCAATAATACTTAGATTAGAATACTTCTATTGTGGTTTAGGTAGAATAAAGAAAAATATTCTTTCAACAGTATGTTTGTTTTAAATAGCATTGTATAACATAGCAGAGGGTAGAGTAAGAGTGTTAAATATTAATGCTAATTTAAAGAAATCTCTTCTAATATAATGTGAACAAATGTTCTACTCAGAACAATCTGTTATACTTTTTTTTACCACCAGATTTTCAAGCTTGCACCTATTCCTAGGATCTAAAACCATGCTTTTTTATTATTATTAAAAAGTGAATGATTGATATTCACCAGTTCCTGAGGGCTACAAATTATATCCCACAGTATTGGTGCTATGGCCATTTTAGGTTTCTAGACCTTCTTGGTTTACCTCATCTCCCCCTCCCCTAGCTGATTTATGCCCATACTGAAATTGCTAATGGGAGCATCCGAAAGTTTAGGATTTAATCATAGGCTGTCCTTTTTGCTACAAACAACAAAAGTGCTCATCTGAAGCTTACCCACAAACTTCTGTGGGGTGGAGCTTTTACGCTTTCCCATGTTGCTTGTCAGCTTCTCTATAACAGCAGGTCTTTCAAAAGGCACCAGAGTAACATTGTTGTCCATCCCAGCTTCTTGCTCCTTATAATCTTCCATAGTAGAGACTACATAAAACCAAAAAGCCAAATCAGAAAGATCTAACTACACTTCCAAGAAATGTTTAATTGATAAATAGATTGATCAACATGGTAAACTTTGCAAACTATAATTTATCAGCATGTGCCATAAAAAGCACGAGGGAGATTTAAGAGTCATTCAGTAATGATCTCTTTTGGTTGGGGACCCTCTGGGCTATGACTTTCCTTCCAGGGTCTGAAGGAAAAAATGTCAGGGTGGTGGGGAAAACACTGATTTCTCCTGGCAAAAAGACAGGGAAGAGGAAGATTTAGGAATGTTATTATCAGACGGTGATCACAGATACGAAGGTATGCTTCTCTAAGTAATTGCATAAGCCAAGAATCTGCAAGATCTTCAGATAAAAACATACATTATTCTCCAACATATTAACTCTCATGAATCAATAAAAAGTTAAGTAGCCCGATATGAAACACATTATAATGGCAATATTTCAAAATACTACTACCTTTATTACCAAAGAGAAACTTTAAAAAAAACTTAGCCTTCTTTGTTAGGGAATATGCTGATTTCCATGTTTTACTTCTAAACTGGCTCTGCTTTTCTCCTAATCAAGTGTGATGCCAAAGCATACACAATGTTGTTCTCTCCAACTAAGGAAAGCTGAGAGTCCTAAGGAATCCTATTCTTGAAGATTAATCAATGAAGGTTTACATCAAGACATGAAGGGAAGGGAGGTTATTGAAGGAGAAAAAAGAAAGACTGCGAGTATATCATTTTTTCTTCCCAGGGTAAAATGAAAATGTTTTCATCCCCATTCTCAAGACAGATCCAGAAGGAGTGAAAGGGGTGGATGTGGGGAGTTGATAATGGAAGCTTCTGCTCATCATACCATCCCTATATTTTCTGTTGAATACCTGCGTACAACATTTATTTTCTGCAAACACTATTTTTACAAACACTTTGCTCCTTCAGATAACACCTAAGAGATTTGGAAATTAACTGGATTGATGCTTAAATCTTACCAGGACAACAGCAGCAGGACAGACTGTCCATTCCACCTGAGGAAAGCAAGTGAGTTGTGGCTATCCTCCAGGAGCATAATGAAATGCTCAAGAGAATACTTGTGGGATCTGTCCCATAGCCTATCTTGAACTGTGTGGGGGGAACTCAGTTCTCAGATTGTCATTAAAATGTTTATTATCTCATTAAAACAATTCCACAGATTTGCAATGGGAAATGCTTTTTCTTTTTGGTGCCTGGCATTCCTACACTGCCCTGTCCTCTTCATTTATGAGAAAAGTTTTCTTTCCTGTTTTATTGTGTCATTGGCTTAGCCCCCCTGTTTTGGCTTCCAGAGGAAAATAGGCACAGGAAATAACTTGAACTCCATTACCTATATTAACTTGAGATCTTTTATTTATGAATATCTACGCTTGCATCGTCTATTGCTTATGCATTGTCTCTCCCACATTTATGAATGTATAAATATGAGAGCATCCCTTTGTTGGGTGGAATCTCTCTCGTTATTCTGTCGAGGAAGTCTCACCAGCACATGCTGTTTTATAAATACTGCAGTAAGCCTTGATTATTTGCTTTGGGTCCTGCATTTGATTCCACAACTGTTTCCTGAATAGTGTAGATTAAATCTGGATCTGATCATTCAACCATGGACCAATGTGATATGTTATATCATCTCACTGAGAAACATTATAACTTGCTTAAATGTATATTTTATGTTATTATGCATATTTGCCCCAGTGTTCACTTTTATATTAAGGAAATCACTGAGGTTTAACCCAGTCAGTATACTATCCTCCATTGGTTTATCCATTGTCCATTGGCTTATTTCTATTATTCAAAAAGGGAAACAGTAAGAAAAAGAAACTTCATGAATAAAGGCAAAAAGTAACTTCCCCCTTCATCCTCAGCATGTATACTCAACATTTTATCCCTGACTCTTAAAATACAATCAAGTACAACTTCATTCCATACTTCGCACCATTTCTACAAACTTATCTCTAAATCTTTAGCTCTCCTTATTAATTGGCAAAAAGGCAATAAAATAAACAAAAATACCTAATAATGTGTATATAAACTCCCTGTTCATTTAATCTAAATGCCCCTCATTTTAATTATCAAAATCTAATTCCACTAATTAAGCATTACTGTATAAAAAAATTAAAAACTATTAAACATTACCTGAAAAAACTCAGTGAAGGAAAGCCACACTTGCCCACATTCAAAGGCTGAACTTGCATGAAATGGACTATGAACATGCCCATTATATATCTGACGGGGATCAAATCTCCAAGCTCCAACTCTTAGTAGTTTAATTGTACTTGTGATTATCAAATTACTGATCTTCTATGAGATTAATTCTCCCAAACGTCTAAGAAGGTTGTAAAATTTATTAATAGCCAAGGGTTATTTCATGTAATTTTCTATAATTTTCTTTCTTTTTATTCACCATATATGTTGTATTTTACCTTTATGATTGGCTTTGGGCAATAAATAAACAAACAATCATAAGCCCAAAACATTAAAAGCAATATTATCTAATGATAATCAAGGTGGAAGTTATATGAATTTCTACTCCAGAAGATAGGAACCATAACAAGAAGCCAGTTGAAAAGTGCCCATAGTTATAAAATCATACAACATGGACAGAAACTAATTTTTTCTAACTCATCAACATCATTTTGATTTATTTATTTATTTATTTATTTTTGTCTTCTAGAATATTAGCTGTCCTAGACAAAATTTGGGTCATGTGCAAACTTGATATAGATTCCTTTCATTCTATCATCCAAGTCATTATTAAAAATGTTGAAGACTATCGGGCCACAGTATTTCCTTGAGTTTGATAACCACTGTCTGAGTACATGTATGAGGGTTTGGACAGATGAAAACCACATTCCTTCAGTTCTATAGATTATAATTTATTTGTTCTTGAAGACACAAACTTTTTCAAGGTAACTATGAAGACAACTTCATAGTTAAAAAAATTAATTTACAATCCTGCCTAGTCCAGTATTACTAAATGTAAAACATTATAAAAAGCATGGAGTAAATATCCAAGTTTAACTTAAAAGGTAAACAAATAATTAGAATGGCTGAATAGTATTCTAGTTTATTTTATGTTTTTGTTTTGAAAAGAAAAGCAACTAAGGAAGGCTTCAAATAGATATGGAAAATAGAAAGATTTAAATGTTAGATGCAGTTTTAACTTTGCCTTTCCTGTTTGCCTGACCTAGCCACTGTTCCATGAGAGAGAGAGAAAAAGGAACCATGATGCTTTCTGTATGACCTGATCCAATCAGGCTTAATTATATTTATGTAAGAAAAGTGGAATATATCATTGCACTTTAACAAAGGCAAAAAGTAGTTAGGATTGCTCAATTCTGAGTAGAAAAATAGTGATAAAGCAAAATTGGTTAACATACAGTATCTATCCCTACTCCCATCACTGTTCTGATTGAACAAACAACAACACAGTTGCTTTTTTGATTTTATACAATCTATTCATGAATAATAACTATTTTAATCTGACAATGGAATATTGTACTTCTTGGGGAGGAGGGTGCCTTCAAATCACTTCTTGTCTCATGGTGATTGCCTGAACTAGTCCCCGCAGCATTCTTGGGAAACAGTGGTTTGCCCTTGTCTCCTTCTTAGGGATGAATGTGAATGACTGGCCTGAGGTCACCCAGCTGGCTTCTCCCTACTGGGAGAACTCAGTCTCTACCACTTTAACAAAGTGGCTTTCCTAAATCAGACAGTTACTCATATTGAATTTAAGGGGCTAGAATTGTTAATTGTAAGCTTTGGGATGGATTAGTTAGGGAACTGAATTTGTTAGTATCCCAAATTCTTGGGCTAAGCCAGGAGTCTTCAAACTTGACAGCTTTAAGACTTGTGGACTTCAACTCTCAGAATTCCTCCTCCAGTCATGTTAGCTCAGGAATTCTGGGAGTTGAAGTCCACAAGTCTTAAACTTGCCAAGTTTGAAGACCCTTGGGCTAAGCCAATAGCAGCAGAAGCATGATTTGCACATAAAGTAATAGTATGGAAAATCATTTTAATTTATATTTAATTTTATGCACTCAAACAAATATATGTATGGATGGATGGATGGATAGATGGATGCATGGATGGATGGATGGTATTTGGCTTTGTTCGGGTATTTTCCCAAACTTTTATTTTTTTTTATTAAAAACTTTTTTTTATTATAGTTGTGCTTTTAAAGTTGTAGCAACGTTTCGGCAGAATCTCATCTGCCATCATCAGGCTTCTGTAGAAGCACAGAGAAGCACAGAGTCGAAGACACAAGCCTGAAGATGATGAATGAGACTTTATCGAAACGTTGCCTAGATACTTCTAATATTACATGGGAGAAAACCCGAATAACCATGATCCACATACAAATACCCGCGAGAACCTCAGAATATATATATATATATATATATATATATATATATATATATATATATATATATTATAATTCTAAATGGAATTGGCTGAGTAAGAAATTAATCTTAAATCCCCACAACTCTTCTGCGTTTTCTCTTTCCCACCATGGCTCATAGATATGTAGTCATTAAGAGAAGTACTAGCAAGTCTCTGGCCAGTCTTCAATTCCTGTTGAAATACCTAGTATTTCAAGAATAATCAAGAATTCTAAACATTTTGGAAATTCTTTTTTAAAGAATGCCAACTGGACAGGACAAAAAGAGTGCAACTAACCAAGTTAATATGACTGTGGATCAGTCTGTATTCCACTGATTTTACTTTAGAGTGCCCAAATCTGGTTTTTTTTTAGCTCTAATCTGACAGCCCAGTCTAGTTTATTTCACAAACAGTAACCATTTCATAAGAGTAGAAAATTGCTGACTTCATTTTTATGATTTCAGCTATTCCACTATTAATAATCCAAATATCCAATAATACACAAATACTTGCACACGAGTGTAGGATTTGAAGCAAAGCCCCATTCCAAATATAAAAAATTAAAAATTAAATTATAGTC